ACCAAAACGTGCAGATTGTTCCCGATCGGATTGCTATTACTTTTGTGGAATGTTTTGCCGAATGGTTCACGGAATATCGTCGTTCTTGTGGCGAAATTTGTCCCATAGGAATGAATGGCAAAGCTAGAGTGGGAGCTGGCAAAAGCTGAAAAATCAGGACATGATTTCTAAACTGCCACCACTCCCTTATTTTTAGGCCCACCTACACAAATCTTATATCAAAACGTTCAGCTATCCCTGCTGCCACTAAACATGTCAACGGCTAAGCCGTAGTCCTGATTGTTTTCACAATATGACCATTTGTTTGCAACCAACGCCGTCCATTGACATTCATTGAAACTTCACTCTGCAAAGCTCAAATTTGAAGTGCAATTTCTAAGCTGCGACTGTGCCTTCATTTTTAATACTTCAGAGACATACTATGCATCAAAATGTAGGTCTGGGTCTTGTGATTCTCACAATATAAAGCTCTTCGCTGTAGGATTTATAGTTTTTAAGATACGACCATTTGAAGATGGCAACCGCCAAAATACTCTGACCTGTGTCAAGCTGCAGCAGCAAGTGATGTCATAGACAGGGCTTTTTGAACACCTGCTAATGTTTTTATAAATGTATGGTTTAATGTAACTGTGCAACAACGTTGCAATTGAATGTGCTATATAAACGATAACAGTTACTCAGCCCACTCCAGTTGTAGAATCCTGATGGAGGCAAGAACACTTCACACAATTTCCCCAGAAATTGTAGCTTTTCTAGTTATTATTATTATTATTATTATTATAGCAAAATTTGCCACCCTAACTCCTCCCACAGTTTTTACACTACATAGACAAAAATTTACCAAAACGTGCAGATTGTTCCCGATCGGATTGCTATTACTTTGTGGAACGTTTCGCCGAATGGTTCACGGAATATCGTCGTTCTTGTGGCGAAATTTGTCCCATAGGAATGAATGGCAAAGCTAGAGTGGGAGCTGGCAAAAGCTGAAAAATCAGGACATGATTTCTAAACTGCCACCACTCCCTTATTTTCAGGCCCACCTACACAAATCTTATATCAAAACGTTCAGCTATCCCTGCTGCCACTAAACATGTCAACGGCTAAGCCATAGTCCTGATAGTTTTCACAATATAATCATTTGTTTGCAACTAACGCCGTCCATTGACTTTCATTGAAACATCACTCTGCAAAGCTCAAATTTGAAGTGCAATTTCTAAACTGCGACTGTGCCTTCACTTTTAATACTTCAGAGACATACTATGCATTTTCCCCAGAAATCGTAGCTTTTCTAGTATTATAACAGATATATATCTAGCCCTTATATTTAAGGTTTTTTTTAGCTACAAGATTAAAAGTGACGTTTTCCACTATCGCCTGCTGCTGCTCGCACAGTCTCTCCATCATGTGCAAGGTGGAGTTCCACCTTGTGGGCACGTCTAATATGAGGCGGTGAGTGGGAAGGCCAAAGTTACACTGCAGCACAATCAGGCGAGCAGTAGCAGGGTGAGAACGCCAAAAGTGCGCACAAACGGCCCCCACTCTGCAGCAGCTTTCTGCACCAGTTTACCCCTGGCTGTGCTGAAGTTGGTGGTGAAGGTGTTACGCTGCCTAGATGAGGTGGTGATAGAGGAATAGGAAGCGGAGTAGGAGGAGGCAACAGGCAAAGAGAAATGCCCTGCAATCCTCGGTGGCGAAAGGACATGCGCCAAACTGATATCCGCCTCAGGCCCAGCCGCCACTACATTTGCCCAGTGTGCAGTTAGGGAGATATAGCGTCCCTGCCCGTGCTTACTGGTCCACGTATCTGTGGTTATGTGGGCCTTGCCACAGATCGAGTTGCGCAGTGCACACCTGATTTTGTCCGCCAAGTGGTTGTGCAGGGAAGGGATGGCTCGTCTGGCTTTGAGCCATGTACTGTGGGACAGCCACCGCCATCAGGTTTTTAAAACTGTCAGTCTCCACCAGATGGAATGACAGCATTTCAAAGGCCAGGAATTTTGAAATGCTGGCATTCAGGGCCAGGGATGGCGGGTGGCTAGGGGGGGGGACTTCCTCTTTCTCTCCAGTGTTTGGGAGATGGACAGCTGAACGCTTCCATGGGACAGTGTGGAGATGCATTGCTGCTACATCTTCTGTTTGCAGGGTGGCAGGTGCTACTGTGACTCCAGAGGTGGAGGAAGAGGCCGAGACAGCAGCAGAGGAGGAAGCATGTAGCATGCCTGGTCATGCAAGTTGTGCTCAGGTTTAGCACGTTTATGCCTCAGGCTCTGATTGCACAGCGTGTCTTGTCGTCAGCACATTGTCTGAAGAACTGCCACGCCAGGAATCTCCTTGGAGCTGGCTTTGGTGTGTTCGGTCCCTGGGTGGGGTGGGCAGTAGCAGGCGTACCATCTAGAGGATGGCTGCTCCGCTTTTGCACCCTGCTCCCTCTTATGCTGTGCTGGTGCCTCTGTGCGACCACCACCTCTTCCTCCTAACTGCACACGTCACTTGCATGACCTTCATTCCAGAACCTCATCATCTTCCACCCTCTCCTCCACCCTGCCATCCTTGCACACTGCAGAAAGCCACAGTTGGCACCTGTGTTTCATCATCATCAGAGATGTCAGGTTCTATTTAACGGTTCTATTTGACTCTCAGAAGTACAGGCACCAAATTGACTTTTTAGCACCTAAAGAATTTGAGTTTTTACAACTGCAAAGTAAGCACAATATTTGACGGTTCTATTTGACTCATATGAAGTGCAGGCCCCAAATTTAATATTTAGCAGATTAGCACCCAGAAAAGAAGAATGTTTACAATTGCGCTGTAACCGCAGTATTTGAAGCTTCTATTTGACTCAAAGATATGAAGAGCACACCCCAAATGCACTTCTTAGGAGCAAAACAATGGTAATTTGTCAAAGTGTTCTGTAACCGCAGTATTTGACGCTTCTATTTGACTCTTAAATATGAAGTGCACACCCCGAATGTACTATCTAGCACCAAAAA